TTCTCACAGGGTTTAGTAACTTGGGGCTGCTACAGGTTCAGGTCCTACTTCAGTGGCAGGCCCATCTTATCTCCTCTTCAGGTCATATTCTCAAGCAGGAGCTACAGGATGACATGACTAAAACTGTTAACTTCCTTTGCTTACCCCCAAGCCTGTAAGAGGCTTCTGCAGGACTTCCTTGGTTGCTTGCATCATCACCTTCACCACCAGAGGTCAGGGAAACCTTCCGATTAATCAGGGGCCCTGGAAGTGATACAGAAAAGTATTGATTTAAAAGTAATAACATTTATTTAGGGCTTCCTATGAACTGATTGCTTAAACTGTGGTTCTATTTAATCTTCACAACCACTCTATGAAATTGGTATTGATAAATCTCAGGTGTATCCAAAATAAGTCTCTGTGTCAAGTTGTGATATTTTTAGGCCTGTTAGGTCTTTAGGTTTGTCTGGGCACCAGACGTAAGGCAGTTCAACTTAATGCCCTTGCCCTAAGCAGCTCCAGGTGCCAAGAATTGGCCAATTTCTACTTTGGATTCAATGGATGGTCAAAAAGGATCATAAAGGTAAACTGTAGATTTTCTTTGACTAACCAGACTCCTTTCAACGTTGAAATCCTAGACTTCAGAGAGAAGATTAGAACTGGGTTGTGGGGAGATGTGAAAGACGAGTTTCTGAGCATTGACCTTCCATGTAGAATTAACGATAATCTCATTGACTTGGTGGTGGTGTTCATAATTTTCTCCAGTATCTGTATGGTATATAATAAAAAATAGTTGTCCATATCTAGTAATTCATTTGCGAGCCTTACTTGATTTTGAAGCAACAGGACACCTCTACTGTTAAGTGGGCTTGCTGGAGTTTAGTTTTTCCTTATAATAAGAAAATATCTTGAAGAATTGACTTTAATTCAGATTCCTGGGTAGGGGTGTAACTCAGTGGTAGAGCATGTGCTTAGCATGCATGAGGTCCTGGGTTCAATCCCCAGTACCTCCATTGAAAAAAAAAACAAAAAACAAAAAAACTCATCACCAAAATTCTACCAGCTTCAGGATCTTTCTGACCTTGAAGAAAGGGAAAATGAAGATACTGTGGCACAACATCGAAGCAAAGCCTGGGGTTCTGTGCTTTAGAGGTGTTGTTGCCGTCCTATGAGGGCAGGAGTCCTGGAGCTGGCATGGCCGAGGAACCCTTGCACAAGCTGGAGGAAGGTCTGTTTTCCAGTGGGTGGTGAGGGGGTGGGATTTCTCCTTTTTCCGTTCTTTCTAAAACTCTTTTTTTCAGTTACATCATCACCCTGGCTAAGCAACTAAATCCTTGAGCAGAGTTTTTCAGCCTTGCCATATAGGTTCTTATCTTAGACAATGCCTGATAGAACCTTTAACTCTAAAATTTTAGAGCTGACAACCTGTCAAGCTTAGGAGGGAAATTTTTTTTCCCCATTTTTGGTTAATAATTTGTTTTGTGCTAAAATAGTCCTTTCCAATACAGATTTCTTGTAGCCTTCAGTTATCCCAACAGAATCATCATCTAAAGATTTAAACTCTTGTGTAAATGTTCAGTCCTTTGCTTCCTATACAAGGACTTGAGTGGATACAGTCAAATGTAGATCCCTAGAAAGGTTTTTCCAGCTGGTACCGAGTTTTTTTTCCTAGAACCCGTGGCATTTGGGGTTAGGGTTTTAAGTCAGAGGCAGGTCTGTTAATGGAGTGGAGGAGGCTCCACAATCCACCTGAGTGGCTGATGCTCTGGGAGAGGCCAGACTATCTGCACCACCACCAAATCTGTCTCTGTGTACAATTCCAGCCGTTTATGCACGGGAGAGCAGGAGTGTAGCTTCAGCTTGTCCATTTGAAATCTGATGTGAGATGTGTGCCACATTCTTGGCTTGCATCTCCTGTCTAGCACTTCAGGAACTTCCAGAATCGATCTGGGTGGTAAAAAGCTGTCCTGCCAGGATATATCTACAACAGAGCCATTCAGCCACATGTGTGTGTTATGCCTGCCCTTAGTTGCTGCGATAGTGATCTAAGAATCATAGATGCACTTTTCTTTTTAAAAGTATGACAAAAATCAGTTATTCAGATAGGCATTTTAAGTCTTTGTTTTTCTTGGATTTAGGGCCATTACATTATCATCCCTTATGAAAAGGAAGATAACCCGGAAGCTTGCTATTCGAAAGACTATGACAGATGCATTCCAGAAACTGCTGGTTGTGGTTTTAGGTAAGACTTTTTTTTTTTTTTTTTTGACGAGGGCAGTAATTAGGTTTACTCATTTATTTACTTGTTTTTAGAGGAGGTGCTGGGGGTAGAACCCAGGACCTCGTGCTTGGTAAGCATGTTCTCTGCCACTTGAACTATATCCTCCCCACTCTAAGGCTTTCTTGGTTGTCCTTACCCTTGGCTCTAACCCCTTGTTTGAAATTTGGGGAGCAGAACTGAGGGCCATCAGTGTGATTCTACAGTTGTGGACACAGGAGAAGACACAGGTCTTTTAAAACTCCCCTCAAGCAGAATCCCAAGCATTTAGGAACCAAGTAACTATGGCCTAAAGTGGGTTTATGCTGCAGCATTTGAAACTATGAATGCCTTTCAAATAAGGTGTGTTGTTACCAAATCTCAGCATCTCATATATATTTTATGTGAAGTATTTTACTCAAAAACCTTTGTATAAATTAATTATATGGATGTCCTGAATTAGGGATTAAGTTGTCAAAGTAATTTCTAAAAGAAAATATTAATGTACTGCATGTAAGATTTTTTTAAGGAGTAAAAATGTGTTTCATGTCATTGAGAACTTCTTGTGCAGCTAGATTTCTAATTATGTAACTCACCCAGCATTGCCAAGTTTGTTATGAAGGGAACAAAGTAGAGAAAGAGAAGATGGTTACGTTCTGAAAAAGTATTTGAAGTTTCTTCTGCACAAGATAATTATTTTAATTCAATTTATACCAAATTATTTTAAATTCAGGGACACTTGAATCATATCCATGTTTGTGCTTTAAGAAGTCTAGCTTCTTGTGAAATGTGAGAGGAAGGGATTCAGTATCGATGCTAAAATTTTAAGAAAGCCGATTATAACAACAGACCCATTCCTCATTGGCCAATCTTGGAATCAATTCCATTTAAAAACCATCATGTTCTTAACGCTGGGAGAAATCTGAAGCGCCTTCTCCATGGAGTTTAGTGGCCAGAGGGTGTGCCAGACAATTAAAAAGGACTAAATTAGAGAGATGATTATAAGGGCTGTGAAGGAAGTAAAGTGGGTGCTATTTGCAGTATTTCAAGAAAATTATTTAACATGCTGACTTTATTTTTTGAGAGGGAGGAGGTAATCAAGTTTTTATTTATTTATTTACATATATTCTATTTCTTAAAAATTATTTTTATTGAAGTATAGTCAGTTTACAATGTTGTGTCAATTTCTGGTGTACAGCACAATACACAGTCATATAGGGACATACATAGATTTGTTTTCTTATTCTTTAACCATAAGTTACTAGAAGATACTGAATATCGTTCCCTGTGCTATACAGTATAAACTTGTTCATCTATTTTATTTATAGTAGTTAGTATCTGCAAGTCTCCAATGCCCAGTTTATCCCTTCCCACCCCTTTCCCCACTATTTTTAATGGAGGTGCTGGGATTGAATCCAGGACCTTGTGCGTGCTAGGTACACACTAACTGCAGAGCTATACTTCCCCCCATCATGCTGACTTTAACATTCTAGGTGTCTTCTCCGTGTGTGCACACAGGGTAGACCTCTGGAAAGGGGCATTGTAATTGTTTCTAGACTAATGGCTGTGCTGAGACAAGGTGAGATGGGGAAATTTTCCCATGCTAATGTAAAGGGCTGTTCGCTTGGTTTCCAACACTCTTTCTCAGAGTGAATTGCTCACCTACTCCAAAACCCTTCCTGCAGAAACTTTGGAGTCATCACTGATTCAGTGGTAACCCCTAATAATAGAGTGGTGAATTTTATAATCAGACATGGATGCTGAGAGTTCAGAGGACATGGCAACATTTTAGAATATCTAACTGTAAGGTGTATTCCCCTCCCGCCGCCCTAACTGGTGCTCGTTTTGTAGGTCAGCTACTTTTCTTGGAAGCAGTGTGGCCAAGGGGAGGAAGAATGTCTCTCAGATGTCAGCTTTGAGGAGGAGGAGTTCAGATGCCCAGAACTGGGCTAGCACTTCTGAGTCTCCCAGAAGGCCGGGCCCTGTGACTTCCTTGGGAAGCTCTGCACCACCTCACCCCCACCCCTGCACTGCTGGAGTCTGGGGCCACTCTGGTCTGCAGCCCAAATCCTGCCTCGTTGTGCGGGAGGCCAGGCTGAGGTTGGAGAGGGCCTGGCAGGAGGTAAGAGTCACCTTTGCTGGGGGAAGGATGGCTTGG